GTAGCAACGAAAGATGCTGGGTGGGTTAGTATTTAATTCTGACTCCATCTCCACAGCCTATCTAGCTCCAAATATTTGGTAGTAGTAAAAAAAATCCTCCAAATTTGGAACTTGTGTTCACCTCTGTAATCCTATCACCTAGTACAGCTCCTGGCACATCACAAATTTGTTTCAATGAATGAATGGATGAGAATTGTAAAGTGAAGAAGACAATGTACAAATTGAAATTGCTGCCAGTGGGGATCAGAAGATAATCCTTATGCTTCAAGGAAGCACTGCCATATTCCTTTGGTTAGCAGTGCCAGGACCTATCTTCATGTAGTTCCATGGGTCTCCCTCCCTCTTTAGGGGTATATCCAATGGTATCTCACATCATCTATCTATCTATCTATCTATCTATCTATCTATCTATCTATCTATCCATCCCATTCCTGCCATTCCCCACCACTCCGGCCAACAGTATTGTATTTCTAAACACTGATTTTAATGTTTGCAAACACATTTCTAACAATGAACACTGCATGGCAGGGGAACAGGCCATCCATGGCAGTTGTTTTATGAGCATCATTTGCTAAGGCATCAGTAGGAAACTCTTCATTCTATATTCTGGGAGGGGCAGCATAGTAAGTTCCAGCTGGGTTTACTCTGCCCTTGGTGGGTGTTAGTCATAGCAAGCACATGCTCTGATAGTAGCTGCCCTCACTGTGGAGCCATAAACTTTCTCCAAAGCTGCTCTTAGCCTTTCTCCAGGATGCTTTTCCACTAGAAACCCAGGGCTGGGTATTGTGGTACATACCTGTCACCCTAGCACTCTGGAGACAGAGGGAGGGGATCAGGAATTCAAGGTCAGCCTCAGCTGCTTAGTGAGGTTACAGCTAGCTGGTGCTATGTGAGACCCTGTCTCTAAAAAAGTAAAAAGGAACAAAACAAAACAAACAATCAGAAACCACACCAAGAGGCTCCTAATCCTCCCTGAACACACTCTGAATGTCAATCAGAAAAGCAGGGCGGAGGTGGCAGAAACACAGATGCAGGAGCTATTTTTGAGAGGCTAGAAATAAAAAAAAACAAAAAACTAAACACAGGTGTGTTCTGCACAAGCAGAAATGTTCCCAAATCCACAAGCCTTTTTTCTAAATAAAAACAAATCGGTTGCCACATCTCATCCTAGTTTCCAGGGGGCACACAAATAGTTCAGGAACCACAGAGAGCTTGCAGACACCCACTAAAGGTGTCTGACTCATTTTCTAGAAAGCCACACAAACAACAACCCCAGAGTGGAAAAGGAGGCCAGTGTCTGCTCTGTGACTCCTGCCATGGCACAGAAAGCAGGGCAAAGGAAATCACCTCAGCTGATAGCAAAAGGAAACATCCACAGCATGTGGAGACAGTGAAGACTCAAGAAGCAAATATAATTGAAATGTAAAAAAAAACAAACAAGCAAACAAAAAACCAGCACTTCTGATCTTTTACTTCAACTCTTGTATACAATAAAGAGGTACAGGTACATCAAAATGCATATTTCATCAGTTGTGATGAAACTATTCATTTTAGGATAGCTTATAATCATCTATGTGAATTTCTGAGGCACTCATCAACTTAAAAGAAGAGGTAAGGATATTTCTATAATGTCAGCAGGGGTTTTTACAGGTGCAGACTCCACTTTCCTGACTTTAAGCAGACAAAAAAATAGTGGCATATTTTCTTTCTAAAATCTTGCTAAAACCTCACCCACTGAATTCTTACTATTGCAGGTGGATTTTTAAAACCACCTTTACCTACTTTATGCCATAGTATTTATCCCTAACAGCAAACAGGAACCAGAGCCAGAGCTCTACAATTCCTTTTGCTAAAGTTTGAGAAGGAAAAGCCAGAATGGACATTGACAATAGCTAGGATTATGATTACCACAGGCAACTTCACTCCTGTGTGGCAGGCCTCATGCACAGTGTCTTAACTAATAGCCACAGTAGGCCTGTGATGTCAGCTTTATGGCCCTTGCTTAGTGGCTGAGGAAACCGAGGCTGAGAGAGGTCAAATCACATGCCCCAAAATACATAACCCAAAACTGATGCTCTAACTCAAACCTTGGTTTCTCTGAGCTGGCAGCCTACATGGCTCATTATCTTAACATGCCACTTTCAAGGTCAAGGTTGGCAGAAATTTTATGTCAATAAAAATGAAACCAGCATCAGTAGAGGATACAAACAAGATGATAGCACAAGTGATTTTTCCTAAACAGCAAGCTTGCAATGCACTTAAGCAGTGTGAATTAGGACATCTTTTGCTATTAGCTAGCAGGCATACAACAAACACATGTACATACCCATACTATAGGTAAATAAATAAATATGTTCGTTAAAGAAAAAAGTTAAGTGAATAGTCAGAAGGCAACCCTACAGAAATGTACAGGCTCAAGGTCAGACCCATGAGAGCATAGGAGTAAGATGGGGGCGTATGGTCAGTCTCTCAGAAAAGTTACATATTCCAAAGCCAAAATGTCTGAGGGAAGAAGTAGAATGGATTTTACCAGAAAATAAGAAAAGCCATTGAAGACTCTGGTTGGTGCACAGAGGCCATAAATAAAACATTGTTATTGGGTGTCAAAAAGAAGATGCTGGGATGTTAAGGATGGAGCAGATGGGTAGATGGAGCTGGAGAAAGCACCCCTTCATTCTTTACCACTTCATGGTACTTCCTGGCAGCTGAGGAGGAGGCTCAGACTGTTCGTCAGACCAGTAAAGCAAGCCTGGGCTTACTTGGTATGCTCAGGAAGTTGAGTGTGAAAGGAGCTTGGGGCAGAGGTGGGGGAGCAGAATTAGGGACCAATTGTCTAACTAGTATTCATATTCTTGGCCCAGAGAACAATGTGTATAGGGGAAATGGCACACCACATTTTATTAGCAAACCACTTCCAAGTGTATTAACATTGGAAACCAGAAAAATGGGGTGAAGCCCTCCGAGGACACTCTTGAAAGTAGCCTGTTACATTCTTCTGTTCACGGGTACCTACTGAATGGCTGGGACTGGTAGAAGTTGCTTTTCAGACCAAGCACTTCCTTCCCCAAATCAGATTCCCTTTATGAGACTGGATCCCAGGCTATAGCAAACAGGACAAAATGAAGAAATAGTGTGTTTTCATCATGCACAGAATGTATCGAGTGGCAAGGACTGGAGGATAGGGTCTTAAAGAGAAAATCGCCATCTTCAGGGAAAAGACAAATCATGGTGGTATTTCCTTTTCTCAAACCTTCACAAATAAACACAATGGGGTTTCAATTAAAAAGAGGCTTCCCCTCCCTCTAGGAAAACAAAACAGAAATAAAGACAGTGAGTTCTTTTCCCACTACAAAGAATGGCAGTTACTTAATTCCCTGATTCTCTGTCAGTGTAAGAGGAAAGTGCTCTATTCTTTCCCCTGCATGACTAAAACCAATTATCAGCACTAATTATTAAAGTATTTGCATTATGCTTCACACACATTTAACAACTTGCTTATCCCACTCGTTTGGTTGCAGGTCTGATTAAAAATAGGAAATGCACTATGCAGAAGAGAGCTGCCTCCTTAGGAGGAGGGAAGGGGTGGGAAGGAAATGGAACTGCCTCTTGCAGAAAAGAGCAAGGAGAGCATTGTTCCCCTCCTCTTCTTTCCCCCTGCAGCATTCAACACCCACAGAGTTACACTAAACTAAGTTAGGGGGAAAATGTTCACAAGTAAAAAGATGGAGTTCTTAGAAGAAGGAATAATTTACTATTCTAGAAAGGTGTTTGCATAGCTGCACCGTTGTTCTGCACACTATATTCATTGACTCCACAAGAGAGTCAACATTCCACCCCCCCCCCCCCCCCAAAAAAAAAAAAAAAAAAAAAAAAACAACTCAACAATCACTAATGGTTGCTAAGTTTCTTAACATCTAGAGCACTTCCTTCTCTGGCATCCAGAGGTAGAGATAGGTGACACTACAGCAGTCCCCTCCCTCTTGGTAACAGCCACAGGGATTTCTCCAACTCAAATTCCCTACATCAGGTATTTTTTAGACTGACAATGCTTCTCTCTCCCATGAGAGCTCAGGTGACTGTGGTGATCTCTAAGTCATCCTGGCATGTAGAAAATAACATGCTTCCAGCCACTCACCCAGATACAAGAATAAAACTACTTTCTACATCTTGAAGATTACCTGGCTGCTCATTATACTCAACCATCATAAAAGCCCTGGACATCAGAGAAAAACACTGTTTGCTCTAGGAAGCACTTGACTAATATGACTTTTAGCTACCAGTGTGGTGAGTGGCATTGCATGAAAGGAGAAACAGTGTGTGGTCAAAACCTTAGCAAACTGCTTTGCTTCACACAGATTTTATAGCTCTCCAGGTTTTTACACGGCATTGGCTGTAATGATAATAAAATCATCCAACCTTTATAGTCCAAACAAGACAAGCAAAATTCTCTCAGGCACTCTCTGTCTTTGATGTGAATAGCAAACATTCTTTAAGGTTTTGCTGCCTGAGAGGCATGACCAGCCTTTTAAGAGCCTCTCCCTGAGTCCCTGATGGCACGGGGCTTTCAGTCTGCCACTGTAGTGGGCAGAGCCCACAGCTAAGTAGGCTGCCTTCTGTGTTATTCCTTCCAGGAGAGACTCTTCTTCAGGGTCATGAGGATGTACAGCTGGCCCTGAGGTACACAGATCTATTGCATTCCCAAGATGGTTTGTTTTCTAGGATAGCCTGAACAAAAAGAAAGATGTGATTTTTCTTACAAGTTCAAGACCATAAAACAGAATGTTTCAAGGTCTAAAACAAGCGAGGCATGGTGATATGTGTCTGTGATTCCAGCACTTGCTTGGGAGGCTAAAGCAGAAAGATGGTAGGTTCAGACCAGCTTGGGCTAATATAACAAAGTCCTGTCTCAAAATAACAAAATGTGTAAAATGAAAGCTTATTGTCTCTAGATACTATAAAGTGCTTTACAACTTAGAAGGTGGGAGAGAATCTTCGTTTACCTTATTGATGAGAGTCACTATATCTCCTTCCTTGATTGTCAATTCATCATCATTCTGTGCCTCATATGGAAATATTACTTTGCAGTAATCCTTGGCTGTAAGAAAAAAAGAAAATATAACCATTAAGAAGCTTCATCTAATGAGCAGACTCTGATGAAGGTGTTCCCTGACACATTAACCTCAAGAAAAAGGTATGTGTGACAGGATATTACAGCTACATAAAGAAGGGGTCACCCTCCAAAAACTGCCTAAGAGTGCTTATGATGGGCTCATGCTTATTTATCACCAATGCCACAGGCTGATTTGCTTTTCTCAGGTAGAACAGCCACATGGTATCCTTCATCTTGAGAAAGCAGATGTGTACCATCTGATATTTTCTAAAGGAGTATGCAGAGGCAGACTTGAATTTTTCCTCATTGCCTTTACTGCACATATTACAAAAATCATAAAGGGACCTTTACATCTGTTATAAAGCCAACATAGCAAATAAAAGAAATAAAAATTACCTCATTACACTATGCATTAAGAGATAAACACCAAAGCATTTGAATGTAAAAAAATCAACTATAAGCAGCCAACAAATACTGCCAGAACATTTTTATGCACCTATATGTAGGATGGGTGAACTTATTCATGTATACCTCATGGTCTCTTTGTATAAACCTGATGGGGCTGTTTATTTATTTTTTTGTGGTTCTGTTCAGGTACTGATGGGGCTGTTTATGGGCAAGGAAATACACAGTCTTCACTGAACAGGGGGAAATACTCTGGCCATTCAAAATCAATTCATGTATTACTGAGTTTTATATTTTGAAACTATATCGGATGTGAAGTTAACTCTATCAAAAAGCACCAGGCAAGAAGACAGTGAAAACCTTTGTAAAAAATTTGGGAAATGAAGACTTGGAGAACCAGGATTTCAAGACTCAGAACAGAAAGTGGAAGGAAAAACTCAAAGAAAGTATTATCTTCTAGAGCAGACATTTACTATATTCTGCATCAGAGTCCAAAAATCTGACAGCTTTGACTATCCTCAGATATTTCCTCAGGCTACTACTTCCTGAAGCTAGATCATAACCAACAGCTATATGACTGAGTGTCAATTACATTGTCCCTAACATACTTTATACCACTGAAATGCATTGTTTTATGTTGGTGAGCATCCCATAAATCAAAGAGAATGACATACAAAATAAAGACAATCAAACAGCCCATAATACAGACACATTGTGCTCTAGGGTTGATATGGCAAGGGGGTAGGGTGGGGAGGGGATCACTTTACTTCTGTGCACATGTTCGTGGTTTCTGTACAGTGGCTTGAACATAGCAGTTATATCCCCTGTCTGCATGGTATAAATCTTCACTCTTAGGTTCTCTGGGCTTTCTCCTGACTCTCACTCTTTAACGTCTGCCTAAAGGCACCTGTTCTAAATCCCATGGAGACCATACTCCTAAACTTAGAGAATCATCAATGTGCCATCTCCCTTTAATTAGAAATAGCAAAACTTTCCCATGTGCGAATTGCTTAGACGTTCTAAAGGGAGGGGAAAAGTTAAACATCTTTCAATTGGATAATGACAGTTCTTCACCAATTTTCCAATTGACTCTGCTAGTGTGATATGACTTCCCAACCTCAAAACTTCAAACATGAACACACAGTATTATTGAAGAACTTCCCTACAGAGTCCCAACTTTACAAATAATTGTTTGGATGGAAATCAGAGACATTTTTGGAAAGACTATCAGCTACCCACGACCAACAAAATAAGAAAGAGCATGTCATGTTTCCCTGCCTTTTAGTGAAAAGGTTAATAAAACACAATCGACCACTGTGGATTAACTTCCCAGCAGCCATTCCCAATCCCATTTCTACTTCACAGAATCTTCATTCACTCAGGTATGTGCTATCCAGGAAAATAATGTTAATCTTCCATCTAGGTACTAACTGGGACCAACCCTGCTTAGCTTCTGACGTCAGGCATGCTCGGGGTGGCATGGCCATAGACAAATAATGTTCTCTTACTCCCCTTTGTTGCTGATTTGTTTAGGGGTAAGATGTGATCTTCTAGTCAATGAAATCTGGAAAAAGAAATCTGTTGGAGATGGCATTGTTAGATTTTGTTCCCTAGAGATGTCAGGCAAACAGTTGTCTGCCTTTGGTCATTTTGTTTGCAGTGCTAGGAATGGAACCCAGGGCCTGGGTATGCTAGTTGGACACTCTACCACTGGGCCCAATCTACCTACCATGAGGCTTCTAACACTGTTTTATCATTGTTGGAAGACAAGACAATGTTTGACATTGTTGTCATCATGTTTGAACAGTACAAGAAAAGCCAAAAATTTGATCCTGAGTTCTGACAAATTCACCAGCTTCAGGGGCCCTTTTCTCTGAACCTCTTGTTCTGCAGCTTAGCAAATCAATTGTGTTCTACTGTTTTTTTTTGTTGATCCAGTAAGTATTCACTCAAAACAGAAGCATACTAACATGAAGAAACTTGATATAATTTATCTTCAAAACATTTTCTTACTATAATATTCCTCCTCGCCATCATTCCCTACCCCCCAAAGAAGCCTCTTCCTATGTCACTTCCTTTCTCTTCATTCTCACCTTCATATTTCTTACACAGAAGTGATAACCTAATGCTTAGAGAACGGGGAGGGGAGGCGCATGACAAAACAAGATGGTGGTAGATGCTGCCACTGTGTCTCACAGAATGGCAAGATGATATGCATGCAGAACAAAGTTCAAAAAAAGGAGCATTTGATAAACTTTACAAGAAGAGGATAACTTGAAATCCTTTTGGACATAGGAAGAGTCTAAGTTTTACATGAGTAGCAAACAGATAAAAAAGGGGCCAAAATTAATTTTTGCAGGCAGGCATTTCTCAGCAGTTCATTAATTTGATGAATTTAATTAGACTAAAATCAAGTCAGAATGAATATACACATACCCAGAAAGAAATAAAGGCACAATTTATACAACAATTGAGGTGACTTCATCATTACTTTTCCTTTGAATGACTAAAATATCTTAAGAAATTAGCTAGCCTAAGTCTAAATTCCTAGCTTTCTTCTTAAGTCTTTTTTGTCTTAGTCTTTAAATAGCATGGTAAGAAGCAATGACTCTTTCTTTCCAGAAAGGAAACAAAATGAAGCAAACACACACATTTAAAGGGGTAGAAAAAATGAATACAGCACAAAAATGCTCACACCTCTGACCTCATTACTCCCAGATCAAGAGATCCTCACACTACTTTAATTACCAGCTTTCAGCCTTCAACTTTTAAATTGTATTACATTTATGGATCCATACATACATACAGTTGTGTGCATGTGAGAGACAGTGTGTGTGTGTGCATGTGTGTGGAGCTCAGAGGTGAGAGTTGGTTCTCTCCATCCACCCAGTGATCTGGAGAGATGGAACTTACATATTCAAGGTAGGCATCAAGTGCCTTTACCAACTGAGCTAGCATGCTAGCCTTTTTTGCTTTTGAGACAGGATCTCGTGTTACCTTAGCAGGCCTCAAACTCATCATATAGTCCGAGTTGGTCTTGAACTTTGTGGTGATTCTCCTAATAATCTCCAAAGTGCTGAGCTTGCAGATATGCACCACCATACATGGTCAGCTTTCAGAATTTTAAGAAACTTGCTTAAGACAGAATCACCAAGATAGTAACCCTCCATAGGGAATGGGCTCCAAAAAGTTCATTCATGCACTAGGGATAAATCCTGGTTCCACTGTCAGAGGGCCCCATAGACTGTCCAAGCCCCCCAAATGACACCCACTTTCAGGGGGCCTAGCTTGGTTTTATGCAGGTTCCCCAGCTGTCAGTCTGGATACAAGGGGGAGGGTCTAGGTCCTGAACCAAATGATGTGATAGACTTTGATGATTCCCCATGGGAGGCCTCACCCTCCCTGAGGAGTGGATGGGGGTGGGATGGAGGGATGGTGGGGGAAATGGGAGGGTGGGAATGAGAGGGAACTGGGATTGGTATGTAAACTAAGTTTGTTTAAAATAAAAAAATTAATAAAAAAGGAATGAAAAAAGTTAAAAAGCAAAAAAAAAAAAATCACCAAGAACTTCAAGCATGATTCATCCTCCCTCTCCCCAAAACATTGTTTCAATCTCTAGACTTTTGGAAATTTACATGCTATTAAAAACAGACCATTAAAGGAATTGAGCTCACATGCTCACATTCCATGACTCCCTTCATCTGGCTTTATAATTGCTTAAAAGAAAGAAAACACCTTAAAACAAACAAGCAAAAAAGATCTTTCTGTTTAAAAAGTAAGAACAGAACAAACAAAATAAACATGTTCGAAACCTGAACACACACATATGAGGATAAAACTTTAAATCCAGAATACTCTCTGGGCTCACTTTCAACCTATGAAGATTGAGTCCATGTACCCAGACAGTGGTAAGAAGAAAGCTCTCCAGAGCTTTTGACAGCAGTGGAAAAGTACCTTGTTCTGCCTAAAACTGGAGTTTCATTTTCCCTTGAGACATTATAAAAGTAACAGTATTCTGGGCTAGAGGTATGCTCAGTGGGAAAAATGCCTGCTGTGTAAGATGAGGACCCAGATCAGGCAACCAACACTCATATAACCAGTGCTGGGTAGAGACATGGGATGTAAGGGAGACAGGTGGATCCTGGAGACTATCTGGCCAGCCAATCTAGCTGAAAAGGTGAGCTTTAGGTTCAGTGAAACCATGTCTCCAAAAACAAGGTGGAGTGAGTAGAGGACTTAGTGTTGACCTTTGACTGCCAGATGCACACAAAAGCAAGCACATCTGCATCTTGTACATTTGTATACACACAGAGATAGGTAGGTAGGTAGGTAGGTAGGTAGGTAGGTAGGTAGATAGATAGATAGATAGATAGATAGATAGATAGATAGATAATCAACTCAGTAATGTTGAGTTTCCCTAACATCATAATCAGATACTCTTACCCTCAGTGGATACATATTATCTAAGACACTACTAATTTGTAATTTTAAACAAAACCCCTGAGAACAGAGTTATTCAAATTTTCAAAGAATTATGCTTTGCATGCTGTATCATATGTAATATTCACTACTGGGGTCTT